CTATTGCTTAAAGTCCCCTGGCACGTACGGACTTCACATGTGTGCTACTAATGCTTAAAGTCCCCTGGCACGTACGGACTTCACATGTGTGCTACTAATGCTTAAAGTCCCTTAGCACGTACGGACTTGTGCCACTATTTCTTAAAGTCCCATGGCACGTACGGACTTCACATGTGTGCTACTAATGCTTATAGTCCCTTAGCACATACGGACTTGTGCCACAAATGCTTAAAGTCCCCTGGCACGTACGGACTTTCAAAGATTGACATCAAAACAAAGCTTATACTTGTTACATAAAATAGGGATATCATTCATGCTTAACGAATACTTTTATCAAAACAAGGCAAAGCTTTATCAAAACCTTAAGAGCATAACTTTATTAAAAATACCACTCACATAGTTCTTGGGACGTCGGGGTCAAGGCAAAGGTCCAAGTCCTACAAACACATGGCAAAATCTACTGAACATACTTCTCAAAACAAGTCTTACATGCATACAAATGATCTCGGAAAACACATGCTGGGAAACATCTAGAGAAAAACATGCTGGAAGTCAAAACACTGTTTTACATGTCAGGGAGACATGCTGGGTACCAACCAGGTTTTTGCCGAGGTCCCACACCTCCTGGCCGAGGTGTGGCTACCTAGGCTTCGGCATGCGGCTGCATGCCGAGGTGCGCACAAGACAAACTAAGGTGTAAGTGATCATGCAACATAGGCCAAGGTGAGATACGATGCTTGGCCTAAGTGTGAGGTCCAGGTAAGAATAATCTCGGCGACTACACTTCGGGAAGTGCGGTCTGGAGATCTGGGTTTCTACCCGTGAAGAACAGGAAGAACATGAACATGAAGATCATGAAGAACATAGATGCCAAAATCATAACTTCTTTATTACAAAAATCTGGGATTTCATGCTATGAGTTCGAAAACATGGACCTGGGTACCCGTACTTGAAAATCATGTGAAAACAAACACAAAAACATGAATCTTGGCATGAACTTTCAGATCAAAACATGACTTTTTTTGAAGAACACATGAATACCATTTTCTCTCTCTAAACCCGAACTTTAAAGCAATGCATGGCTTACAAATCATATTCAATCGTGCAATGCAATAACATGAACATAAAGAACAATATGAGCAGATCAAGAATCTAACCTTAGAATACAGATCTAACGGTTCGATCTCAAGGAATCAAGCTTGGAAATCTACTCACCCTCAAGAACTCCTCTCCTTCTTCTAGAGCTTCTCTCTCTTCTTCAAAAATAAGGATATAACAAATGATGGGTTTCTCTCTCTGCCGGCTGACTTAACACTCAGCTCGGACACGTGGCAACGGCTGGTTGGTTCTTCTAAAAAAGGTGATAGATTGACAAGACAAGACTATGACAAAGCGTATCTAACAAGCTACCCGGTAAGACACTCCGGCAAGTGATGACATCGGCTAACAACAAAGCTTCGGCAACTAAGGTGACAATGACCTCGGTTAGGAAGGACAACACTTGACTAAGCTGTGCCACACCTTGGCCTAGATGTGCCACACCTTGGTCTAGGTCATACCGCTCTAGGACAAGATCACTTGGGTGCAAAGGTAACATATCGGCCTAGATAATACACATCTCGGCCTTGGTGATGAACACCTCGGCCTAGATAGTGACATCTCGGCCAATATGTCAAGGCAATGGTGGAGGTCAAACAAAGGGGTTCCAAGATGATTCTAGACCAAAGATGACCTCGACTTAGAATGATCTAGGCATAACATGACCTAGGCTTGACATCAAGGAAGGAGCAAAGCATGCACACAACACTTAGACATAACACATAAACACAAAGCAAGACAGGGTTCATGAATGCAAACTTATCGAGACAAAGTTATGTAAATGAACATGAACATGACTACAACATGAATATGGGTTGCTACCGCAATCTTAACATGGCAAAACATATAAATACATGCAAACATCACTAGGACATAAAATGTGGGTTGTTACACTATGTAACGCCCCGAAAATTAGGCAGAGTATATCTATTTATGCTACAAAACCCGTCTGATAGACAAACACATATGTATAGCTAACTATTCCATACATCCATTTCCATTAAATCCCAAATGCCAAATACATGTTATTCACATATCAATGCCCCAACTCCAATCCAAAGCATACATGTTACAACAAGTATGAAATGGAAGTCAAACAGATAATAAGTGCCTTACAGGCTTACAAATTCATCCAAGAACATTCTTGATTACACAAAATGGAGTTTCAACTCAACGCAAATACAACCCTCGGCTTACATTCAACAAATAACAATAAAACAAAAATGATGCCTCAGCTCGAAGTTCTTTCAAGTCAATGTCTTGGCGGAGGCATAGCACCTATACCTGAAATGGTTTTCTTTATAGGGTGAGCCACAACCCAGTAGAGATATACTACACAACATATGAACCATGACAAGACTAAAGAGGAGTATGCTCATGCCATGCTCATGATAAAACAATTTATCTCTCCTTTTATAAAGCATGCAATGCTGAGATGCAACAATAGATATAATATCATTTCCATTTTAAACCATATCTGTTACATGAATACAGGCTCTATGAATCTCCAGGTAAGTGTCTGCAAGTAGGCCCTAATGCACTACCACTGTCATTTTTACCAGTAAACTGGAAGGCTCGATACCTAACCGTGCGGTTCCACACCCTCTACCCAGATTCACCAAGTATTTATCTTTTCGCACACAGATACATTTCCGCACATTTCTCAAAAATAGATACATTTTCAATGAAATGAATGTAATGCAATGTCCAATGCAACAAATGAGGAATGTGGTTCAATTTACCTAACTCTCATGCATTTCTACAACAATCATGGCTATCCTCCACCGATAGCCCAAAATAGATACTTCTAAACAGATATTTAAACAATTAAGTTTCAAAAAAATTCTGATAAATACAATCTATTCCATATCTTATCAAATGTGAACAACTACACTAGTTTTCATATCACAATCACGTTCGGTAACCTCTCAAGATCCATTTCTAACCGTGTCAAGTTTAATTCCAACAAATACATTAAGCAAAATAATACCGTTAATGCTCAAGAAAACATCATTTTCTTTCCAAACTCATTCTTCAAGCATTATTCAACTATGACATCCTATTTTGATCAAAAGCCCCAAAAGTTAAACATAATTCCTTTTTTTTCTTTAAAAATACTCTTATGGTCGCAAACTGGTAAAAATTTCAAAACCGATCAAGTCGAAGTCCGTTTTTGTTCAAATTTAAAACATACCTCTTTCATAACCTTACAAACATATTCCAAGTTTACACTTTCGTAATTTGGGTATCAACTCTTTATTTTTCTCAAAATTTCTCTTTTAAGCAAATAAATTATAAATTTTTCAAAAATTCTAATTAAATTATATACAACTCTAAACTCCATATAATCAAGTAAAAGTGTATAAAGAAGTGTAGGAGAAATCCTTACCTCAAGCTAGAAGAGGAAACAAGCAAAAACCTCAATTTTTGACTTTGTTGGATTTCGATCTCCACCGGTCAAAACGTTGCTCCCTCCAAGCTCTTCACTTTGATCTTAAGAACTATGATCTGAAACTTAATAGATTTTGGTAGATCAAAGATTTTATATGATAAATGTAACCAAAAAATATTGGGAGAGACAGACCTGAGAGCCAAGAGAGAGAGACCAAAGAGAGAGAAAGAAGAAAAATAGGGAAAGTGTTCTGCCTACCAAGAAGAAAAGAAGAAGAAAGGAAATAAGGGCAGAGACAGAGAGAGGGCCCATGTGTTGCTTTCAAAATTGTTTTTTTTTTCCTTTTTTTTTTTTCAAATCAATACAAATATCTATCTATGCATATATATATATATATATCAATTAAAAGTATATTTCAATATTATTAATGACAAAAAGAATATAATATTTTCTCACCACAAAATATATTTCGTTTGATGGTGCATACCATAAATATTTGTAACTCTCTCAAGATTATAAAATAAATAATAATAACAATAACAACAATAATACATGGTTACCAACGAGTCATGATTCAATCAATTGGGTCCAAAATGAATGGAGTTTAATAATTTAAAATAAATCTCCAACTGAGATTAAAATATAAATAAATTTTAAAAGACTTAAGTGGTCCCCGCCATTCACATAATTAAATATGAACTAAAATGATTAAGCATGGGCTAATCAAATAAAACTCAAAAATTGAATTTATATCTCATTTATTACTTAGGACCCAAGAATCACTGCAACTGAAACTAAAAAAAATAATTTTGCCAAGCGGGCCTTACGAAATTGAAATCAAGAAGTAATTCAATTTATTTTCACCAATTTAAATAGAATGGTTCACAACACCACAACAATAATAATAATAATAATAAGGGCAAAATTCAATTTGATTCAACTCGTTACATGCTAGTACTGGTTGTGGTTTGATATATTGCATGTGATTTACATTGTGTAATGCATTTTGATTTTGGAATGAGATTGTTGATGGTAATTATACTTGATTCTAGCATAAGTATTTGATCGCTAGTTATTTATTTATTTGTTGATATGTAGGCAATGCTTTTTCTATTGCTTTAATTAATTACATAGTGGATGTGATTGCACAAGTTTGAGGTCTTATGCAGTGAGTGCCTTTACTGTATAGATGTGGTTTCTTTCATATTAGGCACAAATTGTCAAATTATTTTAGATCCAAAACTAAGATTTACCTAGAATTTAAGTACACTCCATAGTCTACAATGAACTAATTGATATCTTGTTGGCATGGTTATTGGGTTTGGGGGATTTTGATTCTAGCTTTACGCTATGTTTGGCGGACTTTTAACTGAGAAATAGAGGTGGTTTACTGCTAGCTATATTCATCCAACAATCTGCACACAGTTCTCGTTTAAATTTTGGGTATTTATGACATTTGATGTTAGCTCTTAGTTGTTTCCATTTTTTTGGACAAAGGGTGCTTCCCTATTATAAGTCATAACTATGAGGTCACAACAGGATATAATTGTTTTTCGATTGATATGTCTGTTAGGTTGATTTATCGTCTTGTGCATCATCCGAACGGGTTAACATTGAGAGGGTAATTTTTGGTAAAAATTGGGCCGAGCTATGAGATGGACTTTTGTGGCCCAAAGTCCGAAGGACTGGGTAAAAAGGGCCGAGAAGCTACTCCGGCCCAAGAGAGATAAAGTTACTCCGGTCAAAGAGATGAAGTTACTTCGGTCAAATTGTAAAGCTACTTCGGTCAGGAAGTAGCTTGAAGATAGACCGGTCTTGGAGTTATACCGGTCGCGAATCGTTGGTTCGGTCCAAACATACCATGGATTGAACAGGAGAGAGCCGAGGTAAGGAGGAGTAAAAGGGGAACCGAACTAAGGATAGTTCGGCCTATTTTGTGGCTCAGCATAGCCAGTTTTACTTCGGTCAAATGGCAGTTCGGCCATGGTAAAAACCATCCCACTTGGTTTAAGCAGTGGGGGGGTGTAAAAGGATAAGTATTATCCCTTAGGAATATGAATCCTAGAAGGACTCTGCATGGAGAAGTGAAAGTCCTACTAGGATTGGGCCACTCGAAACCTATATAAAAGCTCACAAGCATCACCTTGGGGGAGGTAACATAACACAACATACAATTTTGCTTTCTGAATATATAGAGCTTTGTCTATTTGTCAAGTTTTCTGACTTAGGCATCGGAGAGATTTCCGGCACACACCCGCCGGCTAGCTCACGTTTGTGTTTACAGGTGACAAAGCGACGTCGTACGGAGGAGCGTGGACTTAGTCAACAGGATTATATGAGAAGGTATATTTCTTTCCCGTACAATTGGCGCGGTCTGTGGGAAAAACAGACAGAACAAAACCTCTTGATTAAAGCTTCTCCCCTTTACATTCAATGGCACACATTGAAGAATTGCCGCAGTCCGCCGTCGACAGACTAACTCCAGAAGGGGGTGCAAGGTGTGAAGGATTACCTTTTGTCCCTCCCATGGCGGACTTGGAGTCCCAGCGTCATAACTCCAGGAGGGATACCAGGGGAAGACGAACTCACAGCCCCCGTCATTCTCGTTCGCAAAGCCCTGACAGGCAGAGGAGGAGGATTGATCCTCAAGCTCTGGAAGACCGCGTGAAGGAGCAAGATGAATTGATAAGAAAAATGGCGGCGGACATGGAGGCCTTAAAACGCCAGATGAAGAAAAAAGAAGTGGCGACAGGAGAGGGGCGCAAAAACAAGACGCCCCCTCGCCACTCAGAAAGTCGTAGTAGGAATACTACACCCTCACAAGGAGAGAGTAGAAGCCTCAGGACAGGCGATACTCAATCATGGTCTTCCAGAACTCGTCGCTCCAGGTCTGAGAGGACGAAGTCTGAAAGATCATACACTGAAGGAAGCACATATTGGCCCTCACATTCTCACCAAACTAGATCCAGACAGACAGAATTACCCAGATCATCCGACTTACGAACCGTGCTCGAAGAGAAAGCACGATGCAAGGAGGATGCCAGGGCATGGGATCCGTACAGAGTTTCTGCCTTACAGCGGTTGGCTCCTATAAAAAGTTACAAAATAACACAATTTATACACACATGAGGAAAACGATCAAGTTAAAATAAAGCAGCGAGCGAAAGAGAAAAAAAATCGCATTATAACATCTACTTTAGTTCAATGTGTACGATTCAGAGAAACCCTCTTCGATCTGTGTTTATGCGAATAAAATACAAACCTACACCGAAAATTTATTTCCGCACATTCCTTTTTCCTTTCCCATTATAATTTAAAACATCGATCTTTATCACATCATAGCATTCAAGTTAAAAAGACTTAACAGTATAATATGCGTAATGATTCATTAGTACAAACGACGAATATGAATCATGTCAAAACAACTAATGTCGTGTTTGGTTTTACTTTTTAAAACTCAACTTTGTTTTTTAAATTCGTGATTTTGGATAAAACATGTTAACCAAATATATTTTAAAAATACAACCTAAAAATTATATTTCAAAACTGCCACTCTCTCTGCTCTTTTTATTCGTATCTCTCTTTTTTTATTTATTTAATATTATTATTATTAATCAATTTATCAATCACTTTTTTTCTCTCATCTCTCCTCAATCCTCTCACATTCTCTCACATTTTATACATTAATCAATAAAAATAAAATAAAAAATTTACTAATCATTTCAAAACTAATAACCAAACAAATTTTTCTTTTTTCAAGTTATGATTCAAAAACTCAATATATAACTTCACGCTCAATCATGATTCTAAAACTAAACTAAACGGAATGTTGTGATAAAAATTG